AATTTTTTCCAAGCCTTTCCATTTCCTAACAAATGGGGCAATGTCATTCTTTCTGATGGAGGCATAGAATTCCATTGTGTATATATACCACATTAGATACAAAGTTTTTCACATTATACATGTCACAGAGAATAAGAAACAAATGGTGGGAATAGCTCACTAAATTAAAATTTGGGTAAAGAATCACAGAATAATGAAAATCTCACATTATGTCATCACTAACCTGATTCAACTTTCACTGCATCTGTTAATTTTCTAAGATCAGTCTTTTCTTCAGCTATAAGAAAAATCATAATTGAGAGACATATAATGAAAAGAACTCTTAGGAAAGGTATTAAATTTAGGAATAGAAATCTAGCTGGAAATCTACAAAAATACTGCAGCTAACATAATACTTAGTAATGAAACATTAGCTCTTTTTACCCTAAGATTGGGAGCATGACACATTGTCCACTGTCATCATTTCTATTCAACATTGTTCTGGAAATCCAAGCCAATGAAAGGATAGAGAGGAAAAGAAAAAAAAACACTGTACTATTGGAAGGGAGGAAGTGAAAACAGGCATAACTTGTAGATGACATGATCATGTAAGCAGAAATCTATAAAACTTATTTGAACTGGTAAGTGAATGACATAAAGCTATAGCATACAAGGTGAATATAAAAGTCAGCTGTACTTTTATATACTAGCAGTAAACAATTAGAAAATGAAATGTTAAAGTACCCTACAGACCAGGTACAGTGACCCAAACCTGTAATCCCAACTATTTGAGAGGTGGAGATTGGGACTCAAGGTCAACCCAAATAAAAAGTTAGTGAGACCTCCTTCTCAACAAGTGGACATGGTGCTATACACCTGCAATCCACCTCTGCAGAAGGCATAAACAAAAGGACTACAGTCCAGGCCATCCTGAGCAAAAATTTGAGATTTAGTACTAAATCAAAAAGGACTGTGGCCTTGAGTTAAATGATAGAACATTTGTCTAGCAAACTCAAAAGTTTTGAATTCAAACCCCAGTAAGAAGGAAGGAAGGAAGGGAGGGAGGGAGGGAGGGAGGGAAAAAATAAGAAAAAGAGTCACCTAAAAGGCATAACGTAGGAAAAATAATTCTTCTGCACTGAAAACTAAAAAACTGAAGACATACTATGCTTGTGGCTATCAGTTCTTACCATTTTAAATATGTCTATTCTCTTAATCTATTCATACAACACTATCTCAATAGTATTACTATGCATATTCTCCCCAAATCTATAGATAAAATTCTATCTATAGCAAAGTTACATTATCATTTTCTGAAGATATTGACAAAGTGATTCAACTGAAGTCTACACTATTAATTCTTCTCATTCAATCAATAAGACTTACTTATAGATTTCCCCCCTAAGACCTACAAAATACCTTGTGGATATCAAAGGCATTAGTTTTAGAAATGCTCCTATTTATGTTCACAACTATGAACTCTCTTTAAAGGCACAGTCACTTCTACAACACTCACTTTGAAGGTTTTCTGTCTGCTTTTCTATTTCTTCTTCTATATGATTAATCTCCATTCTTCCTAAAATGCTATCCAAATTATTCACATCAATTTTTCGTTCTTAGGAAACCAATATAAATGAAAAATAAGAAAGATGAAATGTTTAAAAATATATTATGTGTAACATTAATCAGTGTTACTGTTTTTAAAAAGATAAAATCATGATAATCATGACTGTATATGCATTTTACAACAGTTTTAGTTAAGCCAATCAAGACTTTAATTTGATTTCTAATTGTACAGAAAACATTCAATAAAATAGGGTAAATTAAAACCTATTACCTTTTAACTTATTTTCAGGACAACCTGATATAGCTAAATATACTAGGGGTAATTAATGTCTGAGAGCTGAAGACAACAGATTCCTTTCTTCTAAACAATAAAAAGAGCTAGCCTCAGCTGGATACCAGTGGTTCATGCCTGTAATCCTAGCTATTCAGGAGACTGAAGGGGATCTGAGGATCCTGGTTTGAAGCTAGCCTGGGCAGGAAAGCCTGTATGGCACTTTTCTGCAATTAATACTAAAAAGCTAGAGAAGTGGTACAATGCTAGCCTTGAGCACAAAAAGCTCAGGAGCAGTGCCCAGGCCTTGAGTTCAAACCCCAGAACAGTTAAAAAAAACAACAACAACTAGATCTAGCCCCTTTTGTCTGCTTCTGTTGAGTAACTGCTAGCTACTCAACTGGTAGTTTTTCACTCAATGTTTGCAGTATATTCTTTAGTTTGGTTTTTCAGTTTAATTTTTTAATTTTTTTTCCATTTTCCTTATCCCCAATTTGTTTGCCTTGCCCTAACTCTTCTCTGGCCTTTGTGGTTTTCAGAAACTCCAGCAGCACTTATAACCCATAGTTTAAGAAGTTGCTTCTAAAACAATAAATAAGTTTTAAAGATAGCAGTTATTTCTATTTAGAGCTGAGTATTTTAACTTTTTCTTTGAAAATGCTAAAAAAAAAACAGAGGGATTACAGTTACAGAAGTCAGGAAAAGAGTGTTTTCTTGGGGACAATGTCACTCCTTCCCTCACTGTCTCCCAGTTTTTCCTTTGCATCCCATCCACAAGTTAAATGGTTCATTTTTAACATAGTGTCCAGTAAGTACCACTGCTGCATTTGTCCCTCCATTTCTACGCCTCCCCTTATGCTCACAAAGACATATAGACAAAATAAAAAGTAAAGAAAACAAAAACAGCAAAAAAGAAAAAAAACTTCTTGTTTTCATAGAGTTCATTTTGATAAATTTTATTTTGTATGATAGATGCACATAGGCATTGTGCCCTTCTGTTCCTCTCCTCTAAGAGTGTCCTCCTTTGGTCTCACTGTGTGTGAATGACTAGACTTTAGATCTAGATTCCACATATAAGAAAAAACATATGCCATTTGTCTCTCTGAGCTTGTCGTATCTCACTTAACATGATTTGTTCTAAATCTATCCCTTTCTCTATAAATGGCATAATAGTATTATTCTTCCTGATGGCTGTATAACATTCCATTGTGTATAGGAATCACATTTTTTTGGACCCACTCATCTACTGTAGAGCATCTTGGCTATTTCCACAACTTGGCTATTCAGAATAGTGCTGTGATGAACATGGATGTGCAACTATCTTTATGGTATTCCAGCTTGTGATGTTCTGAGTATGCCCAGGAGTAGTATGGAAAGATCTATGTTTAGAGCTTAGTTCTTTTGTAAGCTTTTAAAATGTCTTCTTAAATAGCTTCAAAGATATTTCATGACTTCAAAAGTCTAAGCCCACCAGAGTGGTTCAATGCTGGTTCTGCTCACATCCTTAAAGTCCTTTTCTGTGAGAATTCACAGAATTCAAATTCACATTTTCCACAACAGTGCATAGTTGAATTGATATCAGTCATTCCTCTCTTAATATCTGAGAGAAATGAGATGAAAATTGAGTGGCTCTTTTGTGTGATGCAGTTTACTAACTCTGGTGTATTATGGTCTTCAGCTATAACACAAAAATCATGGCTAAACCAATAACCTTCAAATATTTAGGAGATGTTCAATGGGAGCATTTGAATCAAAACTCATCATTTGATTAGCCCATATAGTAAAGTTTTAAATGAAAACACCAATTTTTGTTTACTGATCACTTAGAACAGAACTTTGCTTATTCTTTTCTATAGATCACAAACATTGAGACTCCTTCCTAAAATGTAATATAGGAGATTATCTGCAGGATTAAAGATAGGTCAAACAAAACTTAAATATATGATCTGAATATGTGAAGAGTGGCAAGGATGAAAATTTAATGTCTTATAACATTTAATCATCTTTAAAATTTTGCATATCCACAGACCTATTGTAATCCTTCTTTCAACAGATGGAAGAGACAAATTAAATCTTTCCCAAGTTATATAAAGATTTATTAAAGGCAGTAAAGAGGCCATTATTTCACAAAATCAGACTTTGTATTCCCTAACAAAGCCAAATTTACTCTTGATAAATAGACAAATAAAGATAAAAGACAAAACAGAAAATTCGTTCACCTACTGGCACCTAAGACAGTTATTGCTAGAATTCTTGTATGCCAAACTCTTTCCCATTTCTTCTTTATAATTCCTTTTTTTCCCATTCTAATACTTTTCCATAGCTTTACTTCCCTCTTAATTCTCATTTTGAATGTAGAGATTCTTAGGGGATCAAGGATAACAACCAGCATTTCTTATTGACTGTAGAAAGACTTCTGAATAAACAACTGATTTTCAAACTAAAATCAAGATGCTACATTTGATGTATTTTTTCTTAAGATAAAGAGTATTGCTTTATGAAATGGGTTTGAGGCCAGCCTCTGCCTCAAATAAAAAGGGATAATCTTCTAGTTAGGTAGGAAAAAGAATTGTTATAGAAACTTTCATAAGTGAACATGTAAGTTCTTGTGAAGGAAGGTGTAAGTTGATATTTTTACCATTCATTGGCTGATCATTCACCATCTCCCAGTGATCTTTATTTTCAAGTTCTATTTCCATGATTTCTGGTATTTTTTTCATGTCACTGGTATCACTCTCTCCTCTTTCTAAAAAGCAAGAAAAAATTAAGACTTTTAGAAATAGTCTTTACATTGCTATATTCAATGGCTAGATGAACAGAGACAGGAACTAGAAACTTAGCCTCCCATTCTTCCAATAAAGATTTTCTCCTTAATACTAATAAAATCTAGTAATGATAAGCTTAGCAAAAGAAATCTGATAAGAAGCTAAGCTGTTCCTTGAAACTGAAATACTGGTGATGCTGGTTACCTCTTTTTTATTCCATTCCTAACTAAACATATGGGTTCTCTGCTATGACATCTTTTGCCACCTTTCATTAGAATGAACTGTTATCTTAAGAGTCTGTTGTTCCTATAAAAATAATTCTGTGAAATAAACCAGAAAGGAAAACCAAAAACTCCTGAAGTAATGTAAATTGTATACATGTAGGAAGGACAAGGTTCTTAGATTTCTAGAAGCAATTTATTCTGAGGTATTACTCTACATATCATTTATAACAACTTTATTGTTCATTTATTAAGACTGATAGCAGCCTTCTCATTAACTAGAAGCAAAGACTTAGCTTGGATCTAGTAAAAGAAGTAGTTTTAAGATAAAAGTAAGAGTAGACTTCCATACAGAGTTCATTATTTCTACTATTTAATATTGAGTACATTTTCAATGTGTAACTTCTGCCTTTCTGAGATTTCATGCATATTAGAAAAATGTATTAATAAATGAGCAAGTTAAATAAATGAACAAGTTGTTAAAACTAGAAGAGAAGGTTTTTGAGTTTAAGCCAAATAAATGATATCAAGAACAGTAGCATCAAATCCCAAATCCTCTCCAGGGCACAAGTCTATTAAGTTACTCACCATCAACTACTAAATCTGAACTTAGATCACTGGGTTCTGATGGTGTGGGTTTTAGTGTCATGTTTCCAAGAAAACTGTCAACGTCATGGACATCAACCTGTGACCCTACAGAAGAAAAGAAACACATATGAAAGTAAAAATATAATAATAATTTCCACAGATCATGGATATTAGTTTCCTCATAAAATATAGTCCAAAGATATGTGTTTAAAGATGAATATTAATGGACTAAAATTAATCTATTCATACATAGTCAACATTTGAACTAAGTCTATAATAAAACATGTTGAAAGAGCTGACAAATAATTCAGGTGATTTAAAGGAGCAAAACAGTAACACTAACAATATTTAACATAAACATTTTGAAAAACAGGGTTCATTCAGTCACCACACTTCATTATACTAGCTTCTCTCAAATTTGACTATTTCCACTACTAAAATTAAAAATCTAAGGTGTATTTAAAAAAAAAATAACAACAGAAGCCTAGCATTGGTAGCTCACAACTGTAACCTAGCTACTCAAGAAGCTGAGATCTGCGAGTCACAGTTCAAAGCCGGTCCTGACAGGAAAGGGTATGAGACTCTTATCTCCAACTAACCAGCAAAAAGCCAGAGGTGGAGTTGTGACTCAAGTGGTAGAGCACTAGCCTTGAGGAATAAAGCTTAAGGAGAGCACTCAGGCCCTGAGTGCACACAAGCAAACAAAAAAACAAGAAAGGAAGGAAGGAAGGAAGGGAGGGAGGAAGGGAGGGAAGGCAGGGGAGGGAGGGAGGCGAGGGAAAAAGACAGGAGATCGTTTAATCAATAGGAATATGTGTGTGTATAATGAAAATAAATATGAGATTGACAAGAAGCAAAGTTTACTGAGAATGAAATCATAAAAGCAAAACATAAGCACCTCAATCTGGTTTCTCAACTTGCAAATCACTCAACTTTTATAGTTTCTACACACCTCATCAACTTATTCTTATCTATTTTCCCTTTAGCTGTAAGAAAATACATAGCTCAGGTAAAGGAAAGCTATGATATCAAGGTAATACAAGATATCTTAAGTTCAGAAATATAAACCTCAAAATAATTTGCTCCTAAAATGTGTCTACTTTCTAAAAATAATAACATAAATGTCATTTTTGGCACCTGAGACAATTATGAATACCAATTAGGCTAAAGCAAAACACTTTACTAAACTTGTATACTCATTTTACCCCTCTTCCTCCCATATATCTCTCTTCCTCCTCCTATTTCTTGTAGGTCTTAATCTTTTTTTGTTGTTGTGGGTGGTGGTGGTTATGAGTCTTGAACTCTGGACCTGTCTGGGCTGTCCCAGGGTTTTTTTGCTCAAGGCTAGCACTCTACCACTTTAAGCCACAGAACCACTTTTTTTTCTAGTAGTTAATTGAAGAGTCTCATGGACTTTCCTGCCCAGGCTGGCTTCAAACTGCAATCCTCAAATCTCAGCCTCCTGAGTAACTAGGATTACAAGTGTGAGCTACTGATTCCTGGCAACCTACACATCTTGAAGGAATGAAAGGTAATCTTCAACATTCCTCATCCATTATAACAAAATGAGTGTATCTTAAGTAAAAATTTACATATTCCTAAAGTTATTATTCATAAGATTGTGAATAATTTTTACCTATAATTTATAAATGATCTAAAATAAACATGGATTATTAGACAATACAAGTTTTAAGGATATAATCATAAGTCATTCAACACTCTTTTGATGGTTTTGGTGCTGAATAAATCCCTGGACTACTATGCAGACACTCTTGAAAGTAATTTCTCTAGCTCCAGTCTTTCTCTAGGTGTGAGCTCCATTCCCATATTTTTAATGACATTTTCCAGTTTATTGAAGTCAGCTTCTTCAAAGTAAAAAATAAAGATGATAAATTTTATTTTCTTCTTTTTGTGATACTGATTTGAGTATAATCTACATGCTTCTTCTCATATCCTTGAAAGCATTTCTATATTAACTTTAAGACCTAATGGAATATAAATACTATATAGTTGTTACCAATAAAGTCTATTTGTTCAGTACAGATGCAATATTTTTCTAAATTTTTTTATTAAATGTGGTTGAATCTGCAGATGGGGAGGCCATGAAGGGTTGATTGTAATTACTATCAAAAGTAACAAGAAGTGACCATTAAATGATATCAAGATTTTCTGAATTATTGGCAATTTTCTATCCAGGCAGTATGTTAGAAAATAATGTGAGCTTGGTGCTGATGGCTCACACCCATCATCCTAGTTACTGAGACCTGAGGATCATAGTTTAAAGCCAGCTCGAGTAGGAAAATCTATAAGAATTTTATCTCCAATTAACTGCCAAAAAGTCAGAAACAGTGCTGTGCCACATGTTTATATAATATAATAATTGTAAGTAATAACTCAATAAAATATTTATCATAGAAAAATATAGTACAGGGTAAAGAACTTGAGCCTTAAATTTACAGTAAATTTTCACTAACCTGAAGTAACTTCGCTTCTATCTGTCAATGGTTTCAGATCTGTCTCTGCTTTAGCTATAATATACAAATTCAGGGAAAATGTTTTTAAAGTAATGATCTAGAAACTAAACTTTATTATTATGCATCATTTATTTACTTATGTTCTATTCAATCACATAATTCTTAGTTTTCAAGGATTTATTCTGCATTAGTAAACTGACCACTAAAAAAATCTAGCTCCAGGGTTATACTTCTTTTTATTAAACATGGTAGAAAATACCTCTCACGTATTAATTCTCTAAACACCCTCAATTCTAGTAATACCTAGAATCTTACAAGTGGGTCTCTCAGGGTAAAGCGGAAAAAAAGACTTCATTTTTACTCTATTTTTAGACATAGACTTCAGTTCTCTGTGGCATTCAGAATTGCTGTAGATAAATAATTACAATGTGCTAGAAAAAGTATTCTTTCCCTGAACAAAAGAAGCCTTGCATTTTCCTTAGAAATCATCCTATCAATACCTACGTATTCACTCATTCATTCATTTTTTTGCCCAGGGCTGAGGACTGAACCCAGGGCCTTGCGCACGCCGGGCGGGCGCCCTTCCGCTGGGCTAAACCCCCAGCCCCTCATTCATTTATTTTTGCAGTCATTTATTTATTTCTCATTCAACACTTATGGAGAACCTACTTATATACCACATATTCTTCTAGGTATTGAACATAAAAAGATAAATAACATACCCTTTCTTATATTAAACTTAAATTTAAAAAGATAAGATAGTCAAAAATATAAAAATGCACTTAAAATATGGCAAATGCAATGGAAAGCAATACATCATTGTTATGAAAACATAGAGAAGAGGTATCCAATAAAAATGATTCTAGCAGAGAAACACTGGCTCATGATTGTAATCCTAGCTACTCAGGAAGCGGAGAACCATCAACTCTAAGGCATCTGGACTATTTCTATAATTGGGGTATTTTGAATAGTGCAGAAATGAACATGGATGTGCAAGTGTATTTACTGTATCCTGACTTGTAATATTCTGGGTCATAGGGAAGTACAATGTGATTCTTGTCTTTGGTTCTGTTAATGTGATGTATGTTTATTGGCTTATGTATATTAAACCAGCCTTGCACCTCTGAGATAAAACCTCCTAGATCATAATGTATGTTTTTTGTCTAGTTGTTGAATTCTGTTGGTAAGCATTTTATTAAGGAGCTTTGCATGTACATTCATCCTAGAGATTGGTCTATAGTTCTCTTTTTAGTTTGGATTCCTACCTTGCTTAGGGCTGGCTGTAACACTTGCTTTATAAAGTATGTTTGGTAGTGATCCTTCCATTTTTACTTCATGGAAAAGTTTGAACAGTACTTGTGTTAGTTCATCTTTAAATGTCTTGTAGAATCCAGCTGTGAATCCATTGGGACCTGGGCTTTTCCTTGTTGGAAGATTCTTTGCTTCCTCCATTTCATTGCTTCTTAGGGGTCTATTTAAGTGGTTTATATCTTCTTGGCTCAGGTTAGGCAGCTTGTATGTCTCTAAAAATTTATCCATGTCTTTTTTATCTTATTTGAGTATAGATTTTGGATACAGTCCCTTGTAATCTTTTGAGTTTCTTGGAAGTCTGTGGTAATGTTACCTTTGTCATCTGTAATTTTGTTGACTTGAGACTCTTCTCTCCTTTTGTCAACTTAACTAGGGGTCTGCCAATGTTATTAAAATTTTCAAATAACCAGCTTTATGTTTCATGGATTCATGTATAGGATTTTAGTCTTTAATTGAATAGTTTCTGCTCTAATATTTACTATCTCTATTTGGCACTGTAGGGTTTGGTTTGTTCCTGTTTTTCTAAGAGCTTTAGTTGCATTATGAGGTTATTTACTTGAGTGGTATATGCTTAGTGCTATTCAACACTGCTTTTGCTGTATCCCAGTGGTTCTGGTATGATGTGTTTTCATTTTCAATTAATTGTAGGAACTCTCTGATTTCTTTCCTCAGTGACCCATTCATTATTCAACCATGTGATTTGCAGTTTCCATGGTTTTTTTTGGGGGGGTGGTTTTGTTTTTTTGTCTGTCATTGGGCTTGAACTCTGAGCTTGGGCCTTATCCCTCAGTTCTTCAGCTCAAGGCTAGCACTCTACCACTTGAGCCACAGCACTACTTCTGGTTTTCTAGTGGTTTATTGAAGATAAAAGTCTCACAGGCTTTCCTGCCCTGGCTGGCTTTGAACCATGATCCTCAGATCTCAGCCTCCTAAGTAGCTAGGATTACAGGTGTGAGCCACTGGTGCCTGGCTTTTCCATGTTTTTTAGTGCTTTTTACAATATCTTTTGCTGTTGAGATGTAGTTCAATTCCACTATGATCAGATAGGATGCAGAACTATCTTAATCCTTTTGTATTTGCTCAGTCATGTTGAATGTCCTAGGACATGATCTGTTTGGGAGAAGGTTCCATGGGATATTGAGAAGAATGAGTATTGTGTGGTTTTGTTGGGTTACTCTTTGTCTAAGTCCATTTAGGTTATGGTGTCATTTAATTCAGAGGCATCTTTGCTGATCCTTTGGTTGAGCTGTCCTTTGGTCAAAGTGCAGTGCTTAAAAAATCTCCCACTATTCTTGTGGTGGGGGTCTATCAATCTTTGTAAGTCTAAGAGTATTTGTTTAGTTTAGGTGCTCTAATGTTTGCTGCATATATGTGGTGTGTGTGTATGTGTGTGTGTGTGTGTATTTTGTCGTAGGGCTTGAACTCTCGACTTGTGCGCTGTCCCTGAGCTCTTCAGCTCAAGGCAAGCACTCTACGGCTTGAGCCACAGCGCCACTTCTGGTTTTCTAGTGCTTTATTGGAGATAAGAGTCTCACGGACTTTCCTGCCTGGGCTGGCTTTGAACTGTGATCCTCAGATCTCAGCCTCCTGAGTAGCTAGGATTACAGAAGCGAGCCACCAGCGCCCGGCATTGCATATAAATATAGATATATCTACATCTATATATAGAGATATATATTGACCACTGTAATTTCCTCTTTGTGGACCTTTCCCTTTATTAATATGTAGTGACCTTCTTTGTCTCTTCTTACTGCTTTTAACATGAAGTCTATTTTATTTGACAATAGTATGCTACTCCTACTTTCTTGCAAGGTACATTTGCTTGATTTATTGAGCCAATCTGCTGCTCTATGACTTGGGGAAATTGATTCCTTTGATGTTTAATATTACTATGAAGATATATGTCATGCTTCCTGCCTGTAGTTTGATTCCTTCCTCTCCTTATTTTACTAAACCAATCTTCTAGTGACTTTTATTAATTGCTGTTTCTTTTACTTTTGATTGGCTTCTTCAGACAGTATGTTTTCCTTTAGTATCCTTTGTAGTGCTCATTTAGTGTTTATTAATTCCTTTAGTTTTCATTTATTATGGAAGGTTTTAGTTTCTTCATAGATTTTAAATGATAGCTTCACTGGGTACATTTGTTTAGGTTGGCAATTGTTATTCAGAGCTTGAATTATACCACTCCAGGCTCTCTTTACGTTCAGAGTTTTGTGGAGAAATCTGTTATCCTGTTATTTAAGTCCAGAGTTTTCACAACAATATGTCTAGACATATTCCTGTCTCTTAGGAGTTCTGAATGCTTCTATCAGGTGGGTAAGATTCTTTCTTGAGGTTGGGAAGTTTTGTGTTGTTTTGTTAAATGGGTTTATAGTTTTGAATTTTTGAACTCTCCTTTATCTATCCCAATTATTCATAGATTTGATCTTTTGGCCGAATCTGCCATATATATATATATATATATATATATATATATACATATATATATATTTGGAAGTATATGTATACATCAACTTTAATATACATATATACACAAGTATATATATCACCTTTATATATATATATATATACTAGTCTATATATCTACTAGTATATATATATATATATATATATATTAAAGTTGATGAACAGGAGGGCTACAGTTATGTAAGTAAGGTAATGAGTACATTTCTTTTTAAACACTGTTATCCCCTCCCTCATTTTCTCCTGCTTTTCCTTCCCTACTCCCTCCCCGCCCTAAGTTATATAGTTCATTTCCAACATAATGTCTAATGAGTATCACTATTCCATTAGTTCATCCTTTTTCCTGTTGTTTCTGTGATTCTCTTTCCTTTCCATGGATCAGATAAACTTATATATAAGACAAAGGGTACAGAAAACTAAAACAAAAAATGGAAATAACCTATACAGGACATAATAAGAATCTCTTGTTTCTAATTCTTGGATTTCATTTTGATACACTTCATTATATATGGTCCTATGCACTTAGCAACTGGGCTATTGTGATCCCCTGTTAAGAATATCATAGACATATTCTAGTTCTTACAAATGAGAGTAACCTTGCAACCTATTATTCTTTAGACCTGGCTTGCTTAGCTTGATATAATTTTTTCCAGGTCTTTCCATTTCCTTATGAATTCAATCTAACACTTTCCTTCAATCAGAAAGATTGAAACATAGAACTCCATTGTGTATATATAGAACATCTTCATGATCCATTCATCTACTGAGGGGCATCTGGGTTGGTTGCATATCTTAGCTATGGTAAACAATGCTGCAATGAACAGAGTTGTACTGTAGGTTTAGTATGGCCCAGTTTGTGGTCATTTGGGTAAATGCCGAGGAGTGGTATTGCTGGGTCATAGGGGAGCTCTTGAGTCTTTTGAGGAATCTCCACACTGCTTTTCTGAGTGGCTGAAGTTTACAAGTTTACACTCCCACCAACAGTGCAAATCTACCAATTCTTGAATGTCCCTTTGGTATGTTCTGGGTGTTTTTCCATGCCTTTGACTTTCTATTCTAATTCCTCTGCGTTTATCTTCAACTCCTGATACTGTTTTCAACTTCATTTGTTCTATTGCCTATGCTTTCAACTGTACTTTGTAATAGCTAGAGCCTCTCATGCTAACAAGGTCTTTGTTGATATCAATTCTTATGTAATTTATTGAGATTTTTTGTTGTGTCTATCTCCTTGTTAATTTTCTCCTTTATTTCCTCCATTGAAAAATGTAAAGTTTCTATCTCTTTTTTTTTTTTTTTTTGCCAGTCATGGTGCCTGAACTCTGGGCCTGGGCACTGTCCCTCAGCTCTTCAGCTCAAGGCTGGTGCTCTACCACTTGAGCCACAGCACCACTTCCAGCTTTTTCTGCTTATGTGGTGGTGAGGAATCGAACTCAGGGCCTCATGCATGCAAGGCAAGCACTCTACCACTGAGCCACCTTCCCAGCCCCAAGTTTCTGTCTTCTTATTGATGTCTTGGATGTCCTGCATTTTCTTCATCATTTCATTACTGTATTCTTCTAGCGATCATGGACCTGCCTTTTTATTTCATCAGCCAATTCCCTCATTGTTGCTTTAATGATTCTTTTGTTCTTCCTCTCTTCATCTTCATTCTCACTAAAGCCCACCCGAGTTGTTGGTTTTTTCTTAGGGTGGCATGTTGTCTTGATTATTAATGAATTGTGTGATCTTTTTTTTTTTTTTTTAGGTTCAAGACAGAGACTCAAACTCTGTACCTACCGCTTTCACTTATTGGCTAGGGTTTTGCCAACTACGCCATGCCTTCAACTCTGAATTTTGTGATCTTTCACTGTGTTTTATGCATTTTGGCTCACTGTTTGCAGAGGCCATAGAAGGTGTTTTTCCTCCCTGAACTTCATTACACTTTTTAATCATTACCAAATTGATTGGTTTTCAGAAATACTTTTATGTGGATGCTCAAGAATGCATGATGAAACTTTCAGATCTAAGTGAGTTACCTTCATCAGGGAGGTTTCTTTTCAGTTCATCGAGTTCTTCTTTGATGAGTTCAGTACCCATATAGCCTAGTGAGCTGTCCAAGTCTCTGATAGCTATTGTATCTTCTTGGTAAGGGAAAAGAAATAGGATAAATCTAACAAAATGTTGCGATTAGTTTTGCATATAATTTATAGATTGCTTTGGCAAGAAGATTTAAAATTCAATAGAATTATGCTTACTCTTCTCAAACTTATTTTTTAAAATAGGTATAATAGCAGTTTCTAAAAGGAATAAAATTACTTTCCAGTGTATTTTTCTTACAATAAAAATGGAGAGTTCAAGTGGAAAGAAAAAATTATTACTGCTACAGCAAAAAAATCAGTCTTCTATAATTGTCTTCTATAATTTACTATTTATTAAAATTTACATAATTTCTTTTGATTTCCAGTTTTCTGTTGTACAAAATGAAGATTATCCTTCCTGTTACAGCATTTCATTGAGGACAAAGTCAGACATCTGAAAAGACCTAAAACTCTGTCCGGAATGAGTTAAAATGCTTGATGCACTTTAATTATGATTTTTGAGCCACAGCAGAACTGGTTTTCTCTCTCTTTTTTTTTTTTTTTTGGTTGGTCATGGGGCTTGAACTCTGGACCTAGGCACTACCCCTAGCTCTTCAGCTCAAGGCTAGTGCTATACCACTTGAGCCACATTGCCACTTCTGGTTTTCTGATGGTTTATTAGAGATAAAAGTCTCACGGACTTTCCTGCTTGGGCTGGCTTTGAACTGTGATCCTCAGATCTCAGCCTTCTGAGTATCTAGGATTACAGGCATGAGCCACCAGCACCCGGTTTGGTTTTCTCTTTTATCCAAACTAGACTCATTGCCTAAGCCATGCAATAATGATCATACATTTATTTATTTATTATTTATTTATTTGTCTGTCGTGGGGCCTGAACTCTGGTCCTGGTCTCTGTCCCTGAGCTCTTCAGCTCAACGCTTGCACTCTACCACTTGAGCCATAGTAACACTTCCACTTTTTCTGCTTATGTGGTGCTGAGGAATCAAACCCAGGGCCTCATGCATGCAAGGCAAGCACTCTACCACTGAGCCACCTTCCCAGCCCCCAATTATGATTATTCTCTTATTGAGAATTTCATAGTTAATCTGGAATAAATTGTTTCTCTTCTTTAAAAAGTTTAGGAAAATATGTATAAATTTGACAGACAAAATACAAGATATTCTGCTAAGATTAAAATAATTCACAGAATTTCTACATTTTTATTAAATTCTTTCATATCCTATAGTGTCTTCATTTTTCATTCAAATATTATTGATTTCTCTTTGAATTAATTCAGGTGTTTATGTATGTCCTTAAATAATTGATCATATTTGTTTTGGCAGTACTGGGGTTTGGACTCAGGGCCTTGCAGTTGCTGGGCAAACACTCTACCACTTGAGTCATTCTCCAAGCTCTTTTCACTTTTTCATATAGAGTTTCTCGACTTTTCCTGTGACTGTCCTTCGACAATAATCTTAAAGATAGTTCTTGTATAGCAGGCTTATAAGCATGCACTACCATTCCCAATTTAATGGCTGACATGACCAAGCTGACCTAAAGCCTGACCCTCCTAATATCTTCCTCTTCAGTAGCTAGAAAAAAAGTTTTACATGCTTTCCCATCAAGAAATGATAGCCACTGGCACCCAGACTAATACACATACTGTTTTAATTGAAATACTGCAATGTTATATTCTGTTCACAACTTAGAATAAAATGCTTTCACTCTAAAGCCAGGAATGATATAACTTACTTAGTTACAATGGAAGCAAAGATCAGGTGGATTGTGGTTCAAGGCTAGCTGTGTAAAAAGTGAGACCCTGCCTCAACAAATAAGTCATGTATGATCCTTCATGCCTATAATCTCAGCTATGCGGAGGCTTAGGTAGGCAAATGACCATCCATGGCTACCTCACACACACACAAAAACCATGAGACTCTATTAGAAAAAAAACTAACCAAAAATTCTGGAGGCATGGCTCAAGTGGTAGAGTACCTATCAAGTGAATGTGAGGCCCTAAGTTCAAACATCCGTACAACAATAACAAAAAAAGGAAAAGGATTCACCTCTTAAACCAGTACTTTAATTTGATCCTCTGACTTTGCTAATCTGAATTCTTTTACTCAAGGAAGAAAGAAAACTAAATTTAAAAACAACTACCAAGATCTATGTTTGATAAGTACTTATACCCAGTTTCAAACTTCTGTGCAATGATTATAACTTTTTGTGTATGTGTGTACTAGTTCTGGGGCTTGAACTCAGAGCCTACATGCTGTCCCTGTTTATTTTTTGCTCAAAGCTAGCACTCTACCACCTAAGCCACAGCTCTACTCTGGCTTTTTGGTGGTTAATTGGAGATAAGAGTTTCACAAACTTTCCTGCCTGAGCTAGCTTTGAACATCAATCCTTAGATCTCTGCTTCCTGAAGAGCTATGTTTATAGACATGAGCCACAAGCGCTCAGCTTATAAGAGATTTTTCAAACTAAGTATGACCACACTTAGCTCTCAGTGAGCACCTTCACTAATGTGATATTTTTAACTTCCTAATTATTTTCATTTTTATTTTTGCATGTACACTTCCCCTTTCCCTATAACCAAATGTACCTATTGGTTAACAGATCTCGTAAGTATCTAGAGTGCAACCCAGGTTTTTTGACAGGGTTTTTATCTGAATTTAGTTCAAGAAGTATTTCATATTATTCTAAATAGTCCATATTATACTAAAATATTAAAAGGGGGCAATTTCCATAAATGAAATTGCTTGAAGACTAGGTTCTTTTATCACAGTACCAATTGTCTTTAGGGGGGTTAAAAATAACTAGCTTCAGGGATATGTAACCACAAACTCATCAACCTAAGTTCTCTGAAGATGAGGGGAAGTTTTCTCTATAATACCTACAATTACCTGACTCATGGAGTGACAGCTTTTCAGATTCTTTGTCAGAGAAATGTGATCCTTTTTTCTCCAGTATGATACTAATGTCATCAAAACCAACCTTCTCATCTTAGGAAAAAGAACACATTGTGAAAAAATATTAAGACAGCACAATCTCTGTGGGTTATAATTATTAAGTTCAACATCTTTCTAAGTAATAGCAAGTTTTTTCATGGGTGGGGGGTGTGGGATTAGCCCTTTATCACTTGATCCACAGTGCCACTCCCAGCTTTTTCTGTTTCTGTGGTGCTGTGGAATTGAACCCAGGTCCTTATGCATGCAAGGCAAACACTCAAACAATGAGCCACCTTCCCAGCCAAATAACATGGTTTAATATCAGAATTTGAAGCAAAATTTAATTCATTGAACTTCTGTTGAAGAAAAGCTGATTCAGCCAAGTTCTAAAAGCAAATTCAGTCCAGACTTCAGCTCAGACATAGCTGTCCTCTATCAGGCATTCCCTAACCACTGTATTTAAAGTAATTCTACTACTCTCCCATGATTGGTCATATTTTTTCATATAAAACATTATTTTTATTTGAGACCAATTATTGCTTTCTAAAATTACCTCTTTTCATGTATTCATTTCTCCCTGACCTACAAGTTTCTTGAAGGCAAAATCATGATCAAATTCAACAATGTAATGCTTATACTTGGAGAAGTATCTAGAACTATGAGCCCAGTAAATGTTAATTAACTGGATAAATTAGTCATGAAAGTAAGCAACCTAATGCTAAAACTTTAGATTATAATAAAGTTTATTTTTGTTATACAAACTATCTAGAAAATAATCTCCATTGCTGATTAAGATTATAACATCTGTACTTCCCTTTTTTAGATCCCTTGTTTATCAGATTAGAACTTCTTTCCAAGATACAGAACAGTTCACAAAATCAAAATGTCCATATGATCAAGATGTACCCCTCTTGGGAACATATCTAAAGAAAGCCAGCTTCTTATAGAGAAACCTGCATGTGTGGCAATACGCTACTCACCATGGAATACTCCTAGATGCCCATCAATAGTTAAATTGGTAACTAATGTAATATACATGCACGTGTGCACATGCACACACACAAATTTTTATTTAACAATAAAGAAGAATGAAGTTATGATGTTTTCAGGAAAATAGATGGCAATGTAGATCATCATGTTAAGTGAAAGAAGGAAATTTTGGAAACATGAGTATTACAGGTTTTCTCTGATATGTGGAAGCTAAGGAGAGGGAAAAGGATATAAAAGTAGAAGGGGGACCAATAAAGATGTGAGGCAAAAGGGGGCAAGAGGAAGGATATTAGAAAGGGTATAAGAAAGAGGCTCAATATAATCTCAGTATATAGTATCCACAAATGTAAATGTCATAATTCCCTTTGTTCAATAAACACTATTTAAAAAGTACATGTTGCTCAACATCATTTGTGAATAGGGAAATGTAAATTAAAGCCACAATGATATTCCAAAATGCACATATTATGATGGCTTGAAAAAATATTGATACTATTACGCATTAGGAAGTCTGCAGAGAACATATGTTGATGATGGTACAACCAGATGGAAAACAATGGCAGTATTTTTATCAAGCTAAATATGTAGTTATTACATACCCCAGAAATCTCATTTATAGGTATACACTCAAATGAGTATAAGAACCAAAAGGTTTGAATCTTTGAGATGACTTTATTTATAACTGTCAAAAACTGGTACCCAAATATATCTAATCCCAGGAGGGAAGACAGTCAAATGTGACATCTATACAATGTAATACTATTGAACAAGAACATGTTTGAGAAGTCATACATGAAATATTACATTGTGTATGACTACATAATATGATTCCATCTGTATTGTGTTTCTATGACAGGTAAAACTAATCACTGCTGATAAAATGTGATAAAAATAAGATTTCCTATGTCCAGCAAGAGGGGAAGAGAATGAATGGCCAGAAGCATTATGAAAATTCTCTGGGAAGTTATAGATAACTGTATTCTAATTGCAGGATGAGTTACTGTTATCATATCATAAAGCTAACCTGTGGTTTTAATGTATGAAAATTGTATCTCATTAAAGAGGTAAGGGCAGAGTACAAAAATAGGCTGGTTTTGGACAGCAGGGTAGCATATTCAAAGATGCTCTTTAGGAAGAATTATCTGGCAGTAGAGTTACTATCTCTACTAAGTAGATAATAAAACTTAACGATAAGGCCTATCAAGAATACAGTCTTGGGCTGGGAATGTGGCTCAGTGGTAGAGTGCTTGCCTAGCATGCATGAAGCCCTAAGTTCGATTCCTCAATACCACATAAACAGAAAAAGCTGAAGTGGCACTGTGGCTCAAGTGGTAGAATTCTAGCCTTGAGCACACACAGGGCTCAGGGACAGGCCCTGAGTTCAAGCCCCAGGACTGGCAAAAAAAAGCAAAAATACAGACTTTGTGATGGTATGAAGATAATTTTTAAAGGCTTAGACAAATAAGTACAGTATCAGAAACTCTCACAGAAAAGTCTCCAGAGTAACAAACTCGTGAGGATAAAAGCTCACCAGTAGATGAGAGATGTTCTTGTAGATTCTGTGGTTCTCCTTCTATAAGAGGTATACCTATGTTTTGCAGAACAGTATCCACATTATTCACATCAATCTTCTCTCCTTAGAAAATAAGAGTATGATAGAATTAAGAAAAAAATCACATTGTATAATAGTAGACAATCCGTGTCCTAAACATGACATGCTGCTTGAAATAAAAGAAGAAAATTATCCTTTGGTCTTTACTGCACTTTATAACATGGATTTCTACTTTATAAAAAAATGAATATAAAATTTGAGTTAGGTAATTGTTTAATTATCGCAATGACAAAAATCACACTGAGTAATTGTAATCAATAAGAGCTTTGAACAATTAGGTTTAACATGTTTGAATTTACTTAAGTTCCCAACTATATAGTCAATACTTTAGTTAATATATTATTTACCACCAACAAGTACAATTTTATTGTTTCTATCTTGCCAAGATAGCTATAAGGTTTAAAAGATAAGTGGTTTGATGCCCCAAAAGCATAGTGTTGGGAAGTTGGCTGAGTGGTAGAGTGCTTGCCTTGCATGCACCTCAGTACCACATAAGCAGAAAAAGTCAGAAGTGGCACTGTGACTCAAGTGGTAGAGCACTAGCCTTGAGCTGATGAGCTCAGGGACAGCACCCAGGCCCCACAACCGACAAAAAAACACAAAAAACAAAAAACATAATATCATTAGTTCCTCAGATACGTGTACCTAAAAGAAGTTAAAGATAAAAGAAGTAAACATTGATACAAATGATAATGAAACAAATGATAAAAATTATATATGGAAGAAGAACCATTAAAACTGTTCTCTGACCATAATGGAATTACACTACAATTAACAATAAAATAAATTGAAAAATCCTAAATATTTGGATATCAAATGACACTTCCAAATAGTCTATGGACCAAAGAAAATAATTACTGAAGAATGTACACTGTGTCTTGAATTAAGTTATTAATCATTTATGATATGTCATAAAATTTGAAGAATTATTTTCAGTGAAAACTTAATATACTTACACTAGAAATGGCAATAAAGTTTAAAAACACAGAAGAAATAATAGCAAATAAATCCCACAGAAATAATAGTGATTAAATATTACATTTAGGTCTGAGATCCTAATAGCTAATGCATAAAGGGAAATTTGAGTTATATAAAGAAGTATACTAGTTCCTTTGAGACAGAAACTTTTCCTGATATTAAATTTCAAGAAACTTTTTTTGGTCAGTTGTAGGGCTTGAACTCTAGGCCTAGGCACTGTCCCACAGCTCTTTAGCTCAAGACGAACTCTATTACTTGAGCCACAGCACCACTTCCAGTTTTTTGGTGGTTAATCAGAGATAAGAGTCTCTCAGATTTTCTTGCCCCAGCTGAATTGGAACTGTGATCCTCAGATCTCAGCCTTCCAAGTAGCCAAGATTACAGGCTTGAACCACCAGTGCCTGGCAAGACATTTTTTACTATTTACCACCAGTTGCATAATGGATAACATTTTTAGGATATAGGGTAATAGTTTTTATAAAGTTGTTGCTAATGCCAGTTCTTAAACATATTCTCTGAACATATTAGGAACTTTTCCCAAAGAAAAAAATAAAAAAAACTCTGCATAATATATTTGATTTGTCAAAATTATGTACTTGTACCTATCAAAAGGTGGACAAGAAATGGCCAAAGAATTGAAGTCTGAACTTCCGTAACAAGAAAGGATACTTTTAAATGTACAATGTGAAAAAAATTATTTTTCCCACCTAATATAAAAACCTCCTATCTTTTTGGTAGTGTACATGCAAAAAGAGCAGTTTAAAGGGAAGCCAGAGGCCTGAAAGTTCAGTAATACTGTGTATACGAAAAGATAGAATAGTCCTTAGCATTATAATTGATAAAAATAATTTACTAAAATTAAACTTGGGGTTTGTTCATAAGGAAAAACTGAAAAGAAACCCATACTCAGAAATAACCAAAGAAAATAACAAAAAGGAGAAATACAAATGCAACTAATATTTCCCTAACAATAAGACAAATGTTTTTACCCAGTTTCTTGGTGAAGAATTATGAATTAGTATCACAAGTGTACTAGCATTTATCATATAATTGCACTTAATTTGCATTAGAGTAATTGCAAGTAGCCTGACTCTGTCTCTCTAAACACTGGCTTAGATCTTCTCCTCCTTCTCCTTCCCTCTTTTTTTCCTTCTTCTTCTTTCTTCTCTTCCACTGCTGCTGCTGCTTCTCCTTCCTCTTCTTCTTCTCCTTCCCCTCCTCCTCCTCCTTCTTTTTGCTTCCTCCTTCCTTCTTCCTCCTCTTCCTCTTCTCTTCCTCCTCCTTCTCCTTCTCTCCTGTCTTCCTTCCTGTCCTTCCTCTCCTTTCTTCTTCTTCTTCCTGCTTCCTTCTTCCTCTTCCTTTTCCTTCTCCCTTTCACTCTCTCTTCCTCTTCCTCCTCCTCCTCCTCCTCCTCTTCCTTGTTCTCCTTCTGCTTCCTGCTTCCTCTTTCTTTTCTCTTCCTTCTCCTTCTCCTTCTCCCTTTCCCCCTCCTTCTCCTCCCTGTCTTCCTCCTTCTCCTTCCTGTCTTTCCTCTCCTTTCTCCTTTCTTCTCCTTCTCCTTCTCCTCTTCCTCCTCCTCCTTTTTCTTTCCTTCCTTTCTCCTCCTCCTCCTCTTCCTCCTTTTCCTCTTCCTTCTTCTTTGCTATTACTGGAGCTTGAACTCAGGATCTTGCATTTTTTTCATCCAAGATTTGGTGAGCCATGCTTCCAGTTTTGTGTTTTGCAGATTAATTAGAAATAAAATTCTCTTTCAGGTTTTTCTGCCTAGCCTGGCTTCAAATTTTCTTAGATCTCAGCCTCCTGAGTAGCTATAGAATTACTGAAATGAGCCAAAACACCCAGACTGCCTTGGTCATTTAAACTAGTATTGCATTTGTCTTAATAATGTTGTTAGGGAAATACAATTGTGAAAATTCCATTGCCCAGACTAAGCCAAAAGGATAACTAATATTAACACAGTCTTATCTAGTTCTGCTGCATAGCAGACATGTCTGACACAAAGGCATTAGAAAATCATACCAATTTTAAACAGGTTTTTAAACTTATCAGATAAGAAATGATAGCTCCTCTCTAGTGGTCAACTCATTAGCCATCACTAAAAGGATGAGATCCCTCCTTTACACAAGTTTACAATCTCAGTTGAGTTTACAATAGTCAATTGCAAAAGACCATCTGGGGTTTTCTCAAAATACATATAAATATATCATTATCTATCATATATCATCATCTATCTTCATTTAACTGAAAATTCTTACTTTCTGGTACAGATGAAAACTGTGAATTAGCCAAATTGTCCATGAGCCATTGTGTAAAAAAGAAGTAAATGTCAGAATATGTAGGAAACATAAATGATCAAATACAATAGGCAATAGGCAACTATAGCATAATTGCTATATTTAAAAACACTTTAGCCAGGTACCAGTAGCACACATCTATAATTCTAGCCACTCAGGAGGCTGAGATCTGAGGATCAAGGTTTGAAGCCAGCCTGGACAGGAAAATCCAATGAAACTCTTTTTTCCAATTAACTAGTAACACCAGATGTAGAGATGTGGCTCAAGTGATAAAATGTTAGCCTTGAGCAAGAAGCACAGGACCCCATGACCTGAGTTCAAGCCCCAAGACTAGGATGCATGCATACGTGCATGCGTGTGCACACACACACACACACACCACTTAATAGTTTAAGTATATGCATATCATTCAGATGTATACAACCCTCATCTGCTTTGATTCCCCCCCACATGCTTCCACTGAAAATAGAGTCCAACTGAGACAACTACAGCCCAGGTAGTTGGTAGGTAGAAGAAAGACTTGGATAACCAGATAGCCATATAAGGTAAAATCACATTGTCTTGCCACGAGATTGTCAACTTCAGCTTCAGGAAAAGGACACATAACCTACCATGCTTATGAACTAAGTCATTCTGTGTCCTTCTGTGTCCTGGGGAGACACACCTGGATGGTGACTGCAGTTTTTACCATGAAAAGAGCTGCTGTACTTCAGAAAGCCCAGGACATGAATGGGACTCTGCAAAACTATACCAGATCAGTGACTAGTTTGCCCAGCCTGGTATAACCTATCATTAGAAGTTTTGCCCCAGATGCCTGGCAGTGAACCATCCAGGTGCTTCTGATACCTGGTTTGGTAAGAACTCCCAACCTGTTTCTGATATTGCCACCAGGCTTCTCCAACTTCTGGTTTCTAAGCTGACAACAGCTTTCCAAAGCTTACATTTTTCTGTTGGTTCCTGTCAGATACTCTGCCCTTTCTCTCCCACTTCTCATAGCTTACTTGTACTCAGTCCTGAGGCATCATGTCCTGTAGGTTGTTAAACTGTGGTTGCACTTTGTCCCTGGGCTCCCAGAGACACTTTCTCAAGGTAGCAACTCTCTACCATTCTCCCCAGGACACAACCTTAGGATTCTCTACTGGGTCAATCAATATAGACATCAGCCTCAGCAACATCAACCATCAGTGAGAACTTGAACTCTGAAAGGTCTTCCTCCTGGCTCCATCTGATGTCTCCTGAGGGAAGCAAAGTCTTCATATAGGTCTAAAGAGACTTCTTAGATTCCCCATAGAAAGGTCTATGATAGGGGCTGGGATGTAACTCAGTGGCAAAGCGCTTGCCTAGCAAGTGCAACGTCCTGGGTTCGATCCCCAGTACCAAAAAAGAAAAGACAAAAAAATACAGAAAGAAAGGTCTATGATAGAAATATACTTATATAGAGCTACAAGAACAATTGACTAAATCATACCTTGTTGTATGTAAGTTGGTCTTTGTTGCTATTTAACTGTCAGATTTCTGTTTAACTTTTTTTCTTGTAAAGGCCATCTACTTTTGAACTCTTACTTTCTAGCATAGGCCTAATGCACTCTATTTAATTTTAAATTTTGCTTCTCCCTTTATTCATTTTCTCTATCATCATCATACTTAAATCACAAGGAAATAATGACTACTAAAATAGCACTACAAAAGATAAAAGAATCTTAGACATGGCAGAAAATCAAAATACAGAAATGCAGGAAAGAATAAACCCTCCTGGAAGAGTAGATTTTCAAAGCAGAAAGAGAAAAGAAACAAGCATCACAAAACAAAAGAAATGATAGAAAATATAACATACTTATCAACATTAACATTGAGTATTAATTATCTTAACTCTATAATCAATTACTTAGAATGGCCTAAAACTAAAAGGAAAAGTTGCATACTTCCAAGACACACTGGCTCAAAGTAAACATTTCCTATTTGATAGGTGAGACACGGGGGCATAGAAAGTCAAATAAGAAGGGCCAAAGCAAGATGAAGACTCAGTAGCACAAACATTAAATACTATGCTTCCATGTCTTATATCCAGACTACATGGTGGTATGATATAAATCCAGAGGAATGAGGCAGCCCTATGCTTATGAGCCTTGTTGGAGGCCTGCAAGAATACTGACCCTATCACATATTGCCTGACTTCCTCATAACACTAATAATTTTGCATTCCTACAAAAACTAGTTTCATATGATAACATTGAGGTCTGTCACTAGCACAAGCAGTGACCAGGCATCCTTTGGACAACAGCCTCTGAGGCCTGCATGACTGAACACAGTGCTTTGAGTCCTGAGGAAACACTTACTCTTCCCCTGCCCCCCCCCCACGTGTAATCTTAGAACCCTAAGGTACTCCCTTGAGGAAGGCTTCCTGACAAGTTCTTTCTTTCATAACTTGGAGCTTTTCTATTACCTTCAAGATATCTTTGCTATTGTTTCAGTGCAAAGTTCTTGATTTCTTTTTTTTTCAATTTTTTTTATTTTTAATTTTTTATCGTGAAAATACCATACAGAGGGGTTACAATTACACGGGCAAGGTTTCAGTATATTTCTTATCAAGCATTGTTGCTTTCTCCTTTGTTTCCCCTTGCCATCCCTTCCAATCTCACCCCCTCCACCCTCCCCACCTCACCCGTCAAAGTTGTAAAGTTCGTTTTTCAACATTACGACTTGTACATCTCATTGTTGCAAACAATGAGATTTGAACGGTTTGTTTTTGCCCTTCCCCTCCACAAATTATACCAACATCAAATTCAATGAAAGCAGGGGTTATACCTTGGAGGAAGGATATATAAAGCAACAAAGAAATCATCTTATAAATGTGTTAGAAACAATCGCAAGAAAGAAAAAAAATATTTGAATACTTATCTTGGGGTTCATTTCACCTAACATCAACTTATCTGACCTTTTCTGCTTGTCTCAGACATATACTAGTTATAGCAAATAAGTACAGCAATAATCTCTTTAACAACTACAACATCCTTGATCAAAACGTTAAGCCACCACCTTTTCTGGATAGAATGCACATGTTTTTCAAATATTCTCATTTTGATTTTTGCAGTTATCTAATAGTAATCCAATTATAAAATATTCTGGCAACCTGACTGCTCAGCTTCCTTGAAAATGCTTCAACAAAACTCATTAGTATACCTTTTTTTGTTAATTTGTTTGTACATCCTGGGCCTTGAACTCTGGGTGTGGGTACTGTCTCAGAGCACTTCAGCTCAAAACAGCACTCCAACACTTGAGGACTGTACCACATCTGGTTTTCTGGTGGTTAATTGGAGATAAGAGTCTCACACATGTTTCTGTCGCGGTTGGCTTTGAACCTCAATCCTCAGATCTCAGCCTACTGAGTAGCAAGGATTATAGGATTGAGCTGCTGACACCCAGAAATCTTCTCTCTCTCTCTCTCTCTCTCTTTTTTTTTTGTCAGACCTGGGGCCTGACTTCCAGGTCTGGGCACTATCCCTGAGTTCTTCAGCTCAAGGCTAGCACTCTAATACTGAGCCACCTTCCCAGACCCAGTCTATTCTCTTTAACGCCAGTCTTCTACAAAGACTCAGAACACAAAGTATCAGTAAATTATTTCCCAGCATGCAACATGAATAACCACAAGTCCAATTCCCAAAAAAATCCCTCATTCCTAACTAAAACTTCAAGAGCCTCACCCTAACTGCCCATATTCCTGTCACCATTCTGGTCTTTACAGCCAGGCACACAACAATTAGCATGGAGCAGCAATAAGAAGCAAACTGGTAAGACATAGCTGCCAAGGATATGTCCCAGGGACCAATAATCTCCAACCAGGTCCTACCTTACACAGTTCTATGGCCTCCTATAGTCTATTCAAAATTTGAATGCTTCAATAGGTTAAACAATTCAAAGGGGCTGGGTGCCAGTGTCTTACACCTGTAATCCTACCTACTCAGGAGGCTGATATCTAAGGATCATGGTTCAAAGCCAGCCAGGTCAGGAACAACCCTGGGACTCTTACCTCCAACAAACCACTAGAAAACCAGAAGTGGAACAGTGGCTCAGTGGTAGAGCACTCGCCTTGAGCTGAAGAGCACAGGGACAGCACCCAAGCCCAGAGTTCAAGCTCCACAACTGACAACAAAAAAAAATTGAATTTAAAATATTAACGTTTAAACTATTATCCTTTAACAGGCACATCTGGTCCTGTGCATCCATCTAATATCGTGTTTCTCAAACCAATCAAGTTGGCAATTCAGACATCCATCTTCCCTCCATTGGACCTCAATATGACTATAACCTATAACAAATTCTCAGCTTCTAGTTGCTAATCAAGAAGTAAAAATAAACACCGCTTTATGTACAATAAGTGACTCAAAACACAATACTTACTATCAACAGAAATGGAAGAAACTATCTTCTGTACTTCTCCCTCAGAAGCATGAGCCTTCAGACCCTTCCGTACAGGTTGAACATCAGCTACATCCACTCTTCCAGTACTGACTTTGTTCAAGGCCTTTGAAAGTTCCTGTACATCTGTCAAAAGAAAAATATTGGTTTAGATACAAATTCTAAATCACAAATTTAAGCTATGATTCAAAAATTAGTATAAATACATGACACTATTAAAAGATAATACAGCATGATGGAATTTACATTAAGTAATATCTTGATGTATATAAAGAAATTATATATGTATATATGTATGAATGTATGTATACTTTCACTGTTGCTTATAAAATAGAAGATCAATTGTAAGACAAACAGGAAGAATATATCTTGTCTAATAATGGGAAATTAATGATTTTTGGTGTTTTTTTTGGGGGGTTCGTTGTTTTTTGTCAGTCGGGGGGCTTGAACAATGGGCATGAAAACTGTCCCACAGCTCTTTAGCTCAGGCTAGTGCTCTACCACTTGAGCTACGACTAGGCGCTGTAGAGCCACTTCTGGTTTTCTGGTGGTTTATGGGACATAAGAATTTCACAGACTTTCCTGCCTGGACTGGCTTTGAACCCCAATCCTCAGATCTCAGCCTGCTGAGTAGCTAGGATTACAGGAGTGAGCTGCTGACACCCAGAAGTCTACTCTCTCTCTCTCTCTCTCTCTCTTTTTTTGTCAGTCCTGGGGCCTGAACTCTGGCCTGGGTGCTATCCTTGAGCTCTTCACCTCAAGGCTAGCACTCTACCACTTGAGCCACAGTGTGACTTCTGGCTTTTTCTTATATACTTCTGACCAATCAAACCCAGGGCCTCATGCATGCAAGGTAAGCACTCTCCTACTGAGTCACCTTCCCAGGCCCAGTCTATTCTCTTTAAAGCCAGTCTTCTACAAAGTCTCAGATCACAAAGTATCAGTAAATAATTTCCCAGCATGCAACATGAATAACCACAAGTCCAACTCCCAACAGAGTCCCTCATTCCTAAATAAAACATCAAGAGCCTCACCCTAACTGTCCATTTTTCTGCCAGCTTCTGGTCTTTACATCCTGACACACAATAACTAGCATGGAGCAGCAATAAGAAGCAAACCGTCAAGACATAGTTGCCAAGGATATGTCCCAGGGACCAATAATCTCCAAACAGGTCCTACCTTCCACAGTTCTATTGCCTCCTAATAGTCTACTCAAAATTTGAATGCTTCGATGGGTTAAACAATTCACTGGGGCTGGGTGCCAGTGTCTTCAACCTGTAATCCTAGCTACTCAGGAGGCTGATATCTAAGTATCATGGTTAAAAGACAGCCCACGCAGGAACATCTGTGGTACCCTTATCTCCAACAAACCACTAGAAAGCCAGATGTGGCCCAGTGGCTCAAGTGGTAGAGCACTCCCCTTGAGTGAATAGCACAGGGACAGCAACCAAGGCCAAAATTCAAGCTCCACAACCAACAACAAAAAAATCATTGGATTTAAACTATTAATGTTTAAACTATTATCCCATCACAGGCCCACCTAGTCATGTGCCTCCATCTAATAAGGTAAGTGTTTCTCAAACCAATAAACTTGGCAATTCAGACATCTATCATTCCTCCAATGGACCTCAATATGACTATAACCTATAACAAATTCTCAGCATCACAAAGGACACTCATTCTAGTTGCTAATCAAGAAGTGAAAATAAACACGGCTTTATGTACAATAAGTGACTCAAAAGACAATACTTACTATCAACAGAAATGGAAGAAACTATCTTCTGTACTTCTCCCTCAGAAGCATGAGTCTTCAGGCCCTTCTGTACAGGTTGCACATCAGCTACATCCACTTTTCCAATACTTACTTTGTTCAAGGCCTTTGAAAGTTCCTGTACGTCTATCAAAAGAAAACATTTTGGTTTAGATACAGAGTCTAACTAACAAATTTAAGCTATCACTCAAAAATTAGTATAAATACTTGACACTATTAAAAGATGATACAGCATGATGCAATTTACATTAAGTACTTTCTTGATTTATATAAATAAATTATATATGTGTATGTGCATGAATGTATGTATGCTTTCACTATTGCTTACACAATAGAAGATCAATTATAAGGCAAACAGGAAGAATACATACTGGCTAATAATTGAAAACCAAAGGTTTTTTGTGGTTTTTTTTGTTGTTTTTTGTTGGTCCTGGTGCTTGATGTCTGGGCCTGAACACTGTCCCTCAGCTATTCAGCTCAAGGCTAGTGCTCTACCACTAGAGCTACAGTGCCACTTCTGGTTTTTGGGGGTTTATTGCAGATAAGGGTTTCACAGACTTTCTTGCCCAGGATGGTTTTGAACCGAAATCTTCAGATCTCAGCCTGCTGAGTAGCTAGGATTACAGGAGTGAGCTGCTCACATCCAGAAGTCTATGCTCTCTCTCTCTCTCTCTCTCTCTCTCTTTTCAGTTCTAGGGCCTAAAATTTTGGCCTGGGCTCTATCCCTGAGCTCTTCAGCTCAAGGCTAGCACTCTACCACTTGAGCCACAGTGCCCCTTCCAGCGTTTTCTTATGTGGTGCTGACCAATCAAATCCAGGGCCTCATGCATGCAGGGCAAGCAGTCTACTACTGAGCCACCTTCCCAACCCCAGTCTATTCTCTTTAAAGCCATTCTTCTACAAAGTCTCAGAACACAAAGTATCAGTAAACTATTTCCCTGCATGAAACATGAATAATCACAAGTCCACCTCCCAACAGAGTCCCTTATTCCTAACTAAAACTTCAAGAACCTCACCCTAACTGCCCATATTCTGCCAGCATTCAGGTCTTTATATCATGGCACACAATAATTAGCTTGGAGCAGCAATAAGGAGCAAACTGACAAGACATAGTTGCCAAGGATATGTCCCAGGGACCAAGAATCTCCAACCAGGTCCTACCTTCCACAGTTCAATTGCTTCCTAATAGTCTATTCAAAATTTGAATGCTTCAATGGGTTAAACAATTCACTGAGGCTTTGTGCCAGTGTCTTATGCCTATAATCCTAGCTACTCATGAGGTTGATATATAAGAATCATGGTTCAAATCCAGCCCTCGAAGGAACATCTGTGGGACTCTTATCTCCAACAAACCACTAGAAAACCACAAGTGGTGCAGTGGCTCAAGTGGTAGAGCACTGGCCTTGCTGAAGAGGGCAGGGACAGCACCTAAGCCCAGAGTTCAAGATCCACAACTAACAACAAAAAAATCATTGGATTTAAAATATTAAGGTTTATTATAATATAATGATTTTTATTTCTTCACAGGCCCACCTAATCATGTGCCTCTATCTAATATCGTGTTTCTCAAACCAATCAAATTGGCAATTCAGACATCCCTCTATTGGACCTCAATATGACTATAACCTATAACAAATTCTCAGGTTCACAAAGGACACTCATTCTAGTTGCTAATCAAGAAGTGATTTATTAGCACAATAAGTGACTCAAAAGACAATACTTACTATCAACAGAAATGGAAGAAACTATCTTCTGTACTTCTCCCTCAGAAGCATGAGTCTTCAGGCTCTTCCGTACAGGTTGCACATCAGTTACATCCACTTTTCCAGTACTGACTTTGTTCAAGGTCTTTGAAAGTTCCTGTACATCTAACAAAAGAAAAATTTGGGTTTAGATACACATTTTAATAACAAATATAAGCTATCATTCAAAAATTAGTATAAATACTTGACATTATTAAAAGATGATACAACATGATGCAATTTACATTAAGTATTTTCTTGATGTATATAAATAAATTATATATGTGTATGTGTATGAATGTATGTATGCTTTCACTGTTGCTTATAAAATAGAAGATCAAATACAAGGCAAACAGGAAGAACATATCTTGCCTAATAATTGGAAATTAATGGGTTTTTGGGTTTTTTGTGGGTTTTTTGTTGTTTTTTGTAAGTCGTGGGTCTTGAACTCTGGCCTGAACGCTGTCCCTCAGCTATTCACCTCAAGGCTATACCACTTGAGCTACAGCGCCACTTCCAGTTTTCTGGTGGTTTATTGCAGATAAGAGTTTCACAGACTTTCTTGCCAAGGCTGGATTTGAACCACAATCCTCAGATCTCAGCCTGCTGAGTAGCTAGGATTACAGAAGTGAGTACCTGACACCCAGAAGTCTACTCTCTAACTCTCTCTCTCTCTCTTTTTTTTTGTAGGTCCTGGGCATGAACTCTGGGACTGTGCACTATCCCTGAGCTCTTCGGCTCAAGGCTAGCACTCTACCACATAAGCCACAGTAATACTTCCAGCATTTTCTTCTGTGGTGCTGACCAATCAAACCCAGGGATTCATGCATGCAAGGCAAGCAGTCTACCACTGAGCCACCTTCCCAGCCACACTCTATTCTCTTTAAAGCCAGTCTTCTACAAAGTCTCAGAACACAAAGTATCAGTAAATTATTTCCCAGCATGCAACATGAATAACCACAAGTCAAACTCCCAACAGAGTCCCTCATTCCTAACTAAAACATCAAGAGTCTCACCCTAACTGCCCATATTTCTGCCAGCATGCTTGTCTTTATATCCTGGCACACAGTAACTAGCATGGAGCAGCAATAATAAGCGAACCGTCAAGACATAGCAGACAAGGATATGTCTCAGGGACCAATAATCTCCAACCAGGTCCTCCCTTCCACAGTTCTATTGCCTCCTAATAGTGTATTCAAAATTTGAATGCTTTGGGTTAAACAATTCACTGGGTCTGCGTGCCAGTGTCTAATGTCTGTAATCCTAGCTACTCAGGAGGCTGATATCTAAGGATTATGGTTCCAAACCAGCTGGGGAAGGAAAGTCTGTAGGACTCTTATCTGCAACAAACCACTAGAAAATCAGAAGTGCTGCAGTGGCTCAAGTGGTAGAACACTAGTCTTGAGCTGAAGAGTACAGGGACAGCACCCAAGCACAGTTTTCAAGCCCAACAACCGAAAAAAAAATTGCACATAAAATATTAATGTTTAAACTATTATCCCTTCACAGGCTCACCTAGTCATATACCTCCATCTAATATTGTAAGTGTTTCTCAAACCAATCAACTTGGAAATTCAGACATCCATCATTCCTCCATTGGACCTCAGTATGTCTATAACCTATAACAAATTCTCAGCTTCACAAAGGACACTCACTCGAGTTGCTAATCAAGAAGTAAAAAAAAAACAATGTACAATATTGTACTTATGTACAATAAGTGACTCAGAAGACATTACTTACTATCAAGAGAAATGGAAGAAACTATCTTCTGTACTTCTCCCTCAGAAGCATGAGTGTTCAGGCCCTTCAGTACAGGTTGCACATCAGCTACATCCACTTTTCCAGTACTGACTTTGTTCAAGGCCTTTGAAAGTTCCTGTACATCTATCAAAAGAAAACATTTTGGTTTAGATACAAATTCTAAATAATAAATTTAAACTATCATTCAAAAACTAGTATAAATACCTGACACTATTAAAAGATGATACAGCATGATGCAATTTACATTAAGTACTTTCTTGATGTATATAAAAATTATCTTTGTGTATGTCTGTGAATGTGTATATGCTTTCACTATTGTTTATAAAATAGAAATCAGTTATAAGGCAAACAGGAAGAATATATCTTCGCTCACAATTGGAAATTAAAAGTTGTTTTGTTTTTTGTCTTGGAGTATTTTTTGTTGATTTATGTCAGTCGGAGGGCTTGATCTTTGGGCCTGAATGCTGTCCCTCAGCTATTCAACTCAAGGCTAGTGCTCTACTACTTGAGCTGCAGCGCTACTTCCAGTTTTTTGGTGGTTTATTAGAGATAAGAGTTTCACAGACTTTCCTGCCCAAGCTGGCTTAGAAGCACAATCCTCAGATCTCAGCCTGCTGAGTACCTAGGATTACAGGAGTGAGCTGCTGACACCCAGAAGTCTACTCTCTCTCTCCCTTTCTTCTTTTTTTTTTGTAGGTACTCGGGCCTGAACGCTGGGCCTAGGCACTATCCCTGAGCTCTTCAGCTCAAGGCTAGCACTCTACCACTTGAGCCACAGTGCCACTCTGGCTTTTTCTTAAGTGGTGCTGACAAATCAAACCAGCGCCTTCTGCATGCAAGGCAAGCAGTCTACCACTGAGCCACCTTCCCAGCCCAGTCTATTCTCTTTAAAGCCAGTCTTCTACAAAGTCTCAGAACACAAAGTATCAGTAAATTATTTCCCAGCATGCAACATGAATAACCACAAGTCCAACTCCCAACAGAGTCCTGCATAACTAACTAAAACTTCAAGAGCCTCTCCCTAACTGTCAATATAGCTGCCAGCATTCTGGTCTTTACATCCTGGCACACAATAATTAGCATGGAGCAGCAATAAGAAGCGAACCGGCAAGGCATAGTTGGCAAGGATATGTCCCAGGGACCAATAATCTCCAACCAGATCCTAGCTTCCACAGTTCTATTTCCTCCTAATAGTCTATTCATTTTTGAATGCTTCATGGGTGAAACAATTCACTGGGACTGGATGCCAGTGTATTATGCCTGTAAAATTAGCTACAGAGTAGGCTGATATCTAAGGATCATAGTTAAAATACAGCCCATTCAAGAACATCTGTGGGACTCTTATCTCCAACAAACCACTAGAAATACAGAAGTGGTGCAGTGGCACAAGAGGTACAGCACTGGCCTTGAGAAGAGCAGAGGGACAGCTCCCAAGCCCATGTTCAAGCTCCACAAACTACAACAAAAAAAATAATTGGATTTAAAATATTAATGTGTAAACTATTATCCTTTCACAGGCTCACCTAGTCATGTGCCTCCATCTAATATTGTGAGAATTTCTCAAACCAATCAAGTTAGCAATTAATACATCCATCATCCCTCCATTGGTCCTAAGTATGACTATAACCTATAACAAATTCTCAGCTTCACAAAGGACACTCATTCTAGTTGCTAATCAATATGTGAAATTAAACAGGGCTTTATGTACAATAAGTAATCAAAAGACAATACTTACTATCAACAGAAATGGAAGAAACTATCTTCTGTACTTCTCCCTCAGAAGCATGAGTCTTCAGGCTCTTCCGTACAGGTTGCACATCAGCTACATCCACTTTTCCAGTACTGATTTTGTTCAAGGACTTTGAAAGTTCCTGTACATCTATCAAAAGAAAAATATTGGTTTAGATACAAATTCGAAATCACAAATTTAAGCTATCATTCAAAAATTAATATAAATACTTGACACTATTAAAAGATGATACAGCATGATGCAATTTACATTAAGTACTTTCTTGATGTACATAAAGTATATATGTGTATGTGTATGAATGTATGTATACTTTCACTGATGCTTATAAAATAGAAGATTAATTATAAGGCAAACAGGAAGAACATATCTTGGCTAATAATTGAAAATTAAAGGTGTTTTGTTTTTTTGTATGTTGGGGAATTTTTTGTTGGTTTTTGTTGGTAATGGGGCTATAACTCTGGACGGGAACACTGTTCCTCCGCTCTTCAGCTCAAGGCTAGAGCTTTACCACTTCAGATACAGCCTCAATTCCGTTTTTCTGGTGATTTATTGGAGATAAGAGTTTCACAAACTTTCCTGCCAGAGCTGGATTTGAACCTCAATCTTGAGATATCACCCTACTGAGTATCTAGAATTACAAGAGTGAGCTGCTGAAATCCAGAAGTCTGCTCTATCTCTTTCTTTTTTGTGTGTTGGTCCTGGGGCCTGAATGCTTGGCAAAGTCGCTATCCCTGAGCTCTTCAGCTCAAGGCTAGCACACTACCACTTGAGCCACAGTGCCATTTCAAGCTTTTTCTTATGTGGTACTGACCAATCAAACACAGGGCCTCATGCATGCAAGGCAAGCAGTCTACCACGGAGCCCCAGTCTATTCTCTTTAAAGCCAGTCTTCTACAAAGTCTCAGAACACAAAGTATCCCAGCATGCAACATGAATAACCACAGTCCACCTCCTAAAAGAGTCCCTCATTCCTAAGTAAAACATCAAGAGCCTAACCCTAACTGCCCATATTCTGCCAGGCTTCTGGTCTTTACAACCTGGCAAACAATAATTAGCATGGAGCAGCAATAAGAAGTGAACCAGCAAGACATAGTTGCCAAGGATATGTCCCAGGGACCAATAATCTCCAACCAGGTCCTTCCTTTCACAGTTATATGGCCTCATATAGTCTATTCAAAATTTGAAGGCTTCAATGGGTTAAACAATTCACTGGGGCTCTATGCCAGTGTCTTACACCTATAAACCTAGGTACTCAGAGGCTTATATCTAAGAATCCTGGGTCAAATCCAGCTCACGCAGTAATATCTGTGGAACTCTTCTCTCCAACAAACCACTAGAAAACCA